CCACGGGTATTCCATGAACGCCTCTAGATCCTCCGTCATTTCAGCATGCTTCTTGACAACTTTCACTTGAGGGAAGTGCACTGTAGGGACTAAAATACCATCAACCAACACAAGACATGCCATCTTGATCCGAGATTCTTTATCCAACTTGTGTTTGTTTTTGAGAATAAAAATTACCCTTTCAATAGTGACTTCTTCCTTATTATCAAAAAGCCTGTCGTAGTTAGGATAGTGTGGTGATTTCCTTTTCTTGCTCTCCTTCGGAGGAAGTTTTCCACAGTTTAAACCAGTAACAATTTTGAACTCCCTAAGCGAGAACCTGATGGGATAGCCGGCGAATAAGATCCAGATTTCGTTCTTCCGCTTGACCTCTAGCTGACGAGCTAATAGAAATAAGCCGAATGTCCCAGACCACGCCGGCTTCGACGGTATATCAAGCAATTTTCCGAGCGGCGAATCTCTGATGAAATCGAGCTCAACATAAAGCTGAAACGAGATCTTGAATAATCATGAATTCTGGTTAGTTATCACCCTCTAACCCCAAGGCTCGTCACTCGCAGAAATAATCCTTCTAGGAAGTTCGATTTCTAACATCTGCCAAATAAACCCCTGAAATTAATCACAACGACGATAAACGTAAATACCAAACGGGCATTCGCTCACACAAGAAATACCTCGACAGCGCCTTCAATCTTCAATCACTCCGGAACCGCCTTATAAAAAACCTAAAAACGTCTCTTTCGAAGAACCAAAAAGTATACACTGAGAGATAACAAAAACGGTTTTGGCGTGAACCCTAAAAGCCCCCTTTACTCTAAAAAGAAATCTCTAACGTTGGATATTGTTGTCGGTTTCCTGACAACACGCAACCTGAATGGGCCTCCACTCCTCATGCCTTCGAGGATCAAATATAGGGGTCTCTCAGACTTTTCCCCCATGAACAATTTGGTTGGCACAATGTCGTTTTAGTGGCACTTAAATTCGAAAGTTTCTATGTGTATTTAGTGCAATTACTCTTATGTAAATAGAGTTAAATGTATCAAAATATTCAAAAATAAAAATCAAAAGATCATAAGTTAAAAGATAGTTATTACACACATAAATGAAAAGGACATAAGATAAATGTTTAAGTGAACTAATAGGACATATGTTCAAAGTTAATATGAAAAACAAAAGTTGTTGAAAGAAAAAGTATATGATCGAAAAAAGATTCATGCGATAAATTTTTGACATTGTAATTTTATGTGTTGGAAAATAATAGTTAGGGAAGCTTAAAGCAAAACATCGATTAAATCAACATAAAGATCACTACCAATTTTAGTAAAATTTCTTTTCTGGTCTAGGATAACATCTCGAATTCCAAGATGAAGTTGGTGTTTTGACCCTATTAATGATATTATTGAACATTTATGTTTTCTTTGGGCCAACTTGCTAGAGTAAACGAAGATATTTATCAAACCTCCATATGTTGGATTCTATTATGAGAAAATTGCTGTATGGGTAGTTTTTAAGTTTTTAAGAAAAATGGGTAGTTTTGAAATCAGACAAAGGATTGGATGGTTTTTACTGTTTACTTTCCTTATTAAGCCCTAACCTTTTAATTTATTTACGAATATGCCATTATATGTTTTTTCTTTTTTTCTTTTCTTTTATATTTTCTCTCTTCCCACATACTTTTTTAACCTTCTTTATTATTATAATTTTTTTTTATTTCCCACATACTTTAAACTGTAATTATTTTAAATTATTTAAACAGTTTTCCGTTTTTGTTTTTTCATAAATATATATTTATTTATTATCCAATTAAGATTTTTGAAAATAGATTTTTAAAAATTTAGAAAAACTGTATTTTGAAAACAATGACCACTTTCTAAACGAAATTCAAAATCCATGTTTTTGTGGTTTTTCACTCAAAATTGCTGATGGTTTTTTTTCTTATTATTCTTTTTTTATTATAAATATTGTTACTTTTAGATAATAAAAAACATAAACTAAAAATATACAATTATAAAAATAAACCACTCCAAGTTATCAAAAAATGAAAAAAAATTAAAAACCATCCAAAACTTAACTTAGAAGTTTATGAAAATAAAAATATTTCTAAAACTTTTTAATAAATTAACTTAATATTTTAATACCAAGGTATTCATCAAGGTTTAGTATTTTTTTTTTATGGTTTAGAGTTTACGTTACTCAATTTGGGTTCGCTATTACCCATTTAGAGTTTATATTTCTATAGTTAATTACTCTATATGGTAGTCATATTTTACATGATTCAATTTAAGTTCGTTAGTACTAATTTAGGGTTTAGCTTTTTATAGTTGATTATTCTATATGGTAGCCATATTTTCTATGATTCAATTTGGGTTTGTTATTACCCATTTAGGATATAGATTTCTACATTTTAATGTTTTTCCGGTTGTTGTACTTTATGTTTTTCTTTATAGGTTTAATATTGCGTTTGTGTGTTTAGTATCGTCAAATGGTTGAATAGTATTCATCAAGGTTTAATATTTTTTTCTTAGTTTACAGGTTACGTTATTCAATTTGTGTCGCTATCAGCTATTTAAGGTATAGATTTTAATAATTATATGTTATTTGGGTTCACTATTACCCATCTAGGGTATAGAATTCTACATCTATTTATTAATACGATTGTTATAATTTATGTTTTTCTTTAACGGTATAATATCTTTTTTGTGTGTTTAGTATCGTAAATGATGTATATACTTTTTTCACATGTGGTGTGTACACCAATTAGTAATAGTTTTGTTGAAATTTATTCTAATTGTAATGGTTTAAAATATGTATATTGCATACACGTATATTACATATGAATACACAACATTTATGTATATCACACATATATGTACACTGCATAGGTGTACACCGCATAGGTGTACACTGCATAGGTGTACACCGCTTAGGTGTACACCGCTTAGGTGTACACCGCTTAGGTGTATACCGCTTAGGTGTACATGTATAAGTATGCACTGCATAAGTGTACACGTACAGGTGTACACTGCACAGGTGTACACGTACACGTATATGTGTTAATAATATCCATTTTAAAAAATTCAAATTTCTATATGTGTAGAAAAAAAAACTATAACTTTTATGTAAATGTCATAATCTGATTCATTGTTTAGAATTAAATATATAATCAAAGATTTGAGGGGAAATTTTTAAAAAAAGTAAGAGAGAGAAAATAATTAATTTTTATTTTTTTATCATATAAATAGGAAATAGAAAAAGAAAAATATATTTATTTCTTAGAAGCGCGTGTAAACATGCATGTAAACATTTTTTGTTGGGACTACGTGGTTTTCTGTATCTGTTTCTCTCTAAAAGACATATCTATTTATCTCTTTCTCTCTCTAAGACACAAGGGTAATTTTAGAGTTTTAAAAATATGGTCCTACCAAAACTACCTAAAAACTAATAAAAATTTAAAACTACCATTCCTCAAATTAAAACTTAAAAACTACCCAATTTTCAAATGAACCCTTCTATTAACTAGTTTGAGCCGCTCTTGTTTATCTCTGGGAAATCTTAAGCCAAATGTGATCATCGATTTTTTCGTTGGCCAGAGCATACTAGCATAGTTCATAAAATATGAAAAACCCTTCTTAATTGTGGAACAATTATTTTGGTTTGCAATGGAAAAGAAAAACGAGTCATCAGCAAAAAGAGGATGCGTAAAAGCTGGAACTCCATTGCCAACTTTGATTCTGTTTACCCTTCTTTTTTCAATCATTAACATCTGAAGATGGCTCATAACATCAAATGAAGAAATACAAAAGTACCAGATCACATTGGCGTAAACCCCTTTCAGGCTTTCAATGTAATTTTCCCTTGTGGACTTCCACAAAACAGCTTACTGATTAAACAACAGCCACTATCCATCCAATCCACAGACTTGAGAAACCGAAACCACATATTGTTTCTTTAAGAAAACGCCATTCAACGTGATCATAGGCCTTATACATATCAGTTTTAGTCGTCATATATGTTTGGGAATTTTTTTTCTAGATTTCTAAGTATGCATAAATTTGTGCACTATCATCACGTTATTGGATATATGCCGCCGTAGAATAAATGCTGGTTGAAATTCAGACACAATCTTATCGAGAGATGACTTCAAACGATTAGTGTTGAAAGTGGTGAATTGCTTAAAGATGCAACATTGTACTGAGCTCTCATTGTCATTGGCAATCTACTTTATCTCACAATTACACCGACAGATATTTCACAAGTTGAGTCAGTACTTACCACAAACAAAAACTCATCATCTTAAGGCTTCTCATGGAATTGTGATATACTTGAAGGAAATCTAGGTCAAGGACATTTTTACTCTGCTCATTCTTAAGTTCGTTTACAAACATTCTCAGATGTAGATTGGACAAATGGACAGCGTAACCAGACTTTAGAAGATCAACTACAAGATTCTGCATTTTTCTTGAAGATTCTTTATATCATGGAAGTCAAGAAAACAAAAGACAATGCTTTGATATTATTTAATATAAATCATCATCATTGTTCAAATCAATTGGTCTGTACAAAAAGAATAGAGGGTAACAAAAACACACTGTAAAGATGAAAAAGTCAAAAGAAAAATTTAGAAAGCTAAAGATAGTAAAACGGGATCATTTTCAAGTAAAGAAAATTAATCACTCAAAACCCTCCACTACTTCTTTTTCAACAATCCGGTGACTGTTTGTTTCGGGAGAGCCGGAGACAAACGCACGCGACGCGAGGTAGAAGAAGAAGAAGGAGAAGAAGATCGATCACTCTTCGCGATTCTCTGGTACTACATTTATGGATTCAAAGTTTTGTTTTCTTTTCCTTATGAATTTTTATATCATCTGATTTTTCCCTCGAATTTTGTCTTTCTCACCGTATTCGCGTTTTTCGTTCGTTCACTGGTTTCGTCTTTACTCATGAAACTGCTTTTTATGTTTACCGAGAAACAAAAAAATACTTGAAATCTCCGTTTCCTGATTTTGCTTAAAAAGTCCCTACTTTTCTCCAAAAACCTGTAGGCTTTGGTTGAATCGTTTGTGGAAAGATCCAAATTTTTCCCCAATCTGAAGCTCATAGAGAAAAAGATTATCTAAGTTTGTATTTTTTCTCCACTCTTAATGTTCTCACTCACGAAGATCCTTTGGAAATTTCATATTAGATATCTGTGTTCATATCGTTCTGAGTTCATATAGCTCCTCAAATTAGGTCCTTGTGGTCATATAGTTTCTGCAATTTTCAAGGTCTTTCTCGAATTTTTATGTTTTTTGGTATGGAAAGCTGAGAAACCGAGATTTTTTTTTTGACGGATTTCTGTTAGAGAGAACGAAAATTGGGTATTAGAGATAACAATAATCGATTCAGGGTTACCAAAATTTCTACTTTTCGCCTTTTCTTTTGATTGTGTTGAGAAATTGAAATCTTTGAATTGGGTTAGTGATTAATTACTAAAAAAATTGATTTTTTTTTTTTTTTGCACTTTGTAATGTTTCCACAGGAAGATGACTTGTGTTCTTAAGCGACGAATTGTGTACGCGATTCGAGATTTCCCACCTGGTTGTGGAACTCACTCTGATACTTCTGGGTTCAATCATCCTCAGAGATCCATCAAGAACCCGAGGATTGATCATGTTTTTGCATCTCGGGAACCTTTTGAAATCTGTCTCAAACCAGAACAAGAGTTTGAATACGCTGATGATTATGATCTTGTTGCAGTTCCTAAACCTAAAGGAACCTGTCTCAAACAAGAACCGGAGATTAGAAACTCTGTTCATGGTCATGGCCGTTTTGATGCGGCGCTTAGAAGCTCTGAACATGATCCTACTCCTCGTGAGAAAGTCCTTGAGGCGTTGCGTATCTACAAAGAAATTTTCAGAGAGTTGGAGCGAGAGAAACAAGCAAGGGTTGGTGGAGATTTGTTCTGTGGTAGAAACAGAATAGACCTAAAAACTCAAGCTGTGTTAGAGAAGATGGGGAAGCAAGTGAACACGGAGAAGAGGATTGGATCGGTTCCTGGAATCAAAGTTGGAGATGTGTTTCAGTACAAGACTGAGCTTCTTGTTGTCGGTCTTCATTTCAAGAACAGGTGTGGGATAGATTTTATGAAAGCTGGAGATGTTAACCTCGCGACAAGCATCGTTGCTTCAGAAGGATATGGTTACGGTGATAAGTTCGATTCTGGTGTTATAGTTTACACAGGTGAAGGAGGGAACGTGATTAGCAAGGAAAAGAAAACTGAAGATCAGAAATTGATCAAAGGTAATTTGGCTTTGGCTAATAGCATGAAGAAGAAGAGTTTGGTGAGAGTGATACGTGGCGAAGGGAGATTGGATCGAAAAGGGAAACGGTATGTGTATGATGGATTGTATTTGGTTGAAAAATACTGGTCAGAGAAAGATGTTAGAGGTAAGACTGTGTACAAGTTTAAGCGTTGTAGAATTCCTGGTCAACCTCGGTTGAGTTTCAGCTAAATGAAATAAATCTAAGATTTTGCAGTAATATTTGACGGATAAAGGTTACATTTTTTATAACAGTTGAGATCTATATACTTATTTGTATAGTGATTTGCTTACGTGTCGCGTTCAGAGCAAGTTTCAGGGTCTTTTACTTACGCGTCAGCTCTTGAATGAGTTTCGGCTGCAAAAAAAGACATTTTTACCCTATTTACCGATTATGTGTCATTTTTTGATTAGTTATTATCTGCTGATGTGTCAAAAATAACTTAAAATAAACCGGTATAAATTATTATGATTTAATGCTTAATTTCACTGTAAAATTAAACCGTTTTTGAAATTATATATAACCAAAATTTATAAAATAATTAATCAAAAACGTTTTTATATTAAAAAAAAATTCATTTTAAATGTTTACCATTTTTTATGTTAACAAATTTTAGATAAAATCTAACAAAAATGTCAATTTCTTATAATTTAATATAAATATCAAACACTTTTCTCTAATTCTCTCATAACTTTCGAAATTCTCTAATCTCTTCATTCTTCTTCATTCTAACTAAAAACTCATGAAGTCATCAGATAAACATATACTAATGTTTTTCTAAAAAAGTATTAACATATACTTTATAGCCTTATAAAACTCATATACATATCGTTCTATTTTTGTAGCTGTAAACAACCCTTCAAACCCTACAATAACTACGTTTGACGAAAACCAATTTTCAAGCTAGCTCCAATGTAATTCTAATCACCCAGAAGTTTACTCGAAGTTTGCTTCTCACTGGATCTGGGATCAAAGAAAAAGCCAATGGAAATCATGTTTCATTGATGATGATGCTGAGTACTTTGAAGCTTTTTTAGAGGCAAGCCACTAGAGTACTCCGTTATGTCTTCTGAAGGCTTACTTAACTCTGTTAAATTGTGATGCTATGGTGAATCCTTTACGTGTTTGGAGATTTATCTGTCGTTTTTTAATTCAATAAGATGCATGATGCCTCATGATTTCTCTTTCTATCATATTTAATTTTTTAAAAGTTATGTGTTTTTGTTCTTGAGGATTATTAATTTTGGGAATTTTCTTATTAAACATATCTATTCTACATTGTTATTCTACGTATTCTTTTGTATTGCTCAATATTTATTTCATTTGTGATGATGATGAGGAGGAATATGTTGAAGGTGATAGTGAAGAAAAGGAATATTGTTGAAGGAGATGATTCTTCTTGTGATGATGGAAGTACTGATAGTGAGGATGATTGTGATGGTGATGGTGACGATGAAACAAAAGATTCTGATGGTGATGAAGAGGATGTTGATTATGCTTCTTCTAACAGTGACGATGATGTTCATATATCTAACACAGGTTTATCTTCATCAGAAAAACTGTTTTTGTTGATCTTCCTTTACTTAGGACACAGGTCTTGGATTGTGTACAAGAAAAAAACAATGACGGTTATTTTGAACCTACTATGAAGCCTATTGGATCTGATCCAATTGTTTTTGGTGTTCCCTGTTTAACACCTCGGTGGTAAGAGACAGTTGTTTTCGTGAAGATACTTCGTGTTTGGACCCAGTCTATGCCCAACTCTGAAAAAAGATTGGCTTCCATTTTTTGTGATGAACAGGTTTGATATGTAAATTAAAATTTACCACCTTCTTTGGCTTTGATTTATTTACTACATGAATCCTCATACTTCATTTCTATTATTCGTGCATGGTTCTAAAATTGAAGGTTTGGTCTATGCTCCAAATTATGACTTCTTTTCAAAGAGGTTATTTGAAGAAAATTGGATTACAAATCAAAATTTTTGAGGTTATTCCTGTTACTGGGGGCTTTCGAGCTACTAACCATCTATCAAAGACTCTTTTCCAAAGTAATACCATCAAACAAAAGGAAGATTTACCCTGCAATCAGAACTTCTTTTCTTTCGTCGATTTCCAAACGATTAAAAACTGCATTTATTCAAATGATTACTTACCATGTTAGTGTATAGAAAAATAAATATTATTTACTATATTATTCTGCTGTTTCAGCAAACCCTATAACTCATTATTTTTTCTCAATACAAGATTTAATTGGAGAAGCGATTAATGTTGGGACAGTCAAAGCATGGGAAGGATATGCTTCATACAATATAAAACATACCGGTGGTTACAGCGAAGATGAGACAATCACATTTGATCTTAGAGATTCAAGGTAGGTGATAGTGCTAAAGAACAAAACGAAAATTTAATATACATTCTATTCGTTACTGTTGCTTATTTATTTTCATAATTTATTTTCCATTTCAAACAGTTGAATTTTCCGTGCCTTGCGCGGACTAATATAATTTTCCATTTAATTGTTTGAAAATCTAATAATATTTTAGATTCATTTTTTTATTCTTTATTGATGAATATATTGTTTGTTAAATTTCCTTGCATTTTAATGTTTAAAAACATGATCGTAAAAACAATACAAAATAATATTTGTTTTGGCTTGGTTGATCAAATGGAAACATTGGTTTGCATGAATGTGAGCATTGGTTTAGAAACATTGGTTTAATGCTTCATTACATTATAAATCAAACTATTTTTCAAATTTTAAAAACTGATATTTAGTAAAACCTAACAACCCTAATAACATTCGTTATTTACTAAATGCAGAAATAGAATGCTTAAACTCTATCATATGGAACAAATTAAACACTAAATATAATACCAAATTACTCCATGAAACTCGGAGGTTAATATTCTGGAAGTGAAGCGATTCAACGCATTAAGAATGGTGTGGGGATTATCACAAGTCCTTTCACTCGAAACATTCAATGACCCTAAAAATGGATATATCTTCGAGGGAGAACAATGTGAGTTTGGTGTTGATGTGATGGTTGCTTCACCTTTTGCCAATTGGGAAGTCATTTCTTTCGATGAAAAACTCCCTTTCCCCAAGTTCTCCTAGGGTGTTAAAGATTTCTTGGTGCTTAAAAGAATCATTATGTATCAGATAGCTTTTTAATGGGAGGAAGAAAATGGTGAGTCTAAAGTATTTTCAACATATCATGCATATATGTATTTGTTCAGCAGTGCTAACAGGTACACTGTAATGTTCTCTACAACAATAAAGTTGTATCCCAAGGGATATTCGAGAGCAGTGCTAACAAGTACATCATATGAATCTATACACACCGATCTCTTTCATCTGATCATTTTGTGTATATAAGATGGTTCAATTTCATTTGACAAAAGAACTTAGTGGAGGCGATAAGATATCACACGATGGGAATGGCCTTAATCTCAAGGATAGTTTGCTTCGCAAACTCAGAAGCCGTATCAGTTCTTTAAAGTTAGATTTTTTAAAGAAAAAGAAGAAAAGAAAGCTACAGAAAAAAGCTTTATTCTGCTGGTGGAATGTTCATTACAAATTTACAAGTGCCCTTATCCTACTAAAAGGCCAAAACACACTATGTTCATCGAGCCAACCATAATTACAATAATGGGAGTTAATCGTTAACGTCGTCGTCTCTACCAACTGACGTTCTCATTGAATCCTCTGCTACAAACACCACCTCCACTTCAAACATCTTGCTTCCTTTCACCTTTAACTAAGGAGTGTTCCTCTGCTTTCTCTTCTTCATGTTCCTGCAGTTTTTGAAAAAACAGAGTATTAATCAACGTTTGTTCATCCTTTATACTTCGTATTACAACGTATGTGTTTCTCTATCTACATGTCTCTAAAGATAATTTTTTGTGTTTAAAAGTGGTTTAGTTTAGTGACATTTTTTGACTTCAGAATATATACTTCAAGAGAGAAAAAGTAGGAGACGACACTTATGCAGAAGATAGTGCAATCAAAGAGTATTGTAATAACAGAGAATGAATTTAAGACATGAGGACGTCAGAAGATGAAGAAGCCTCTCGATGGAAAACAATTTAATCGTTTTACCTTTTGGTTCAAGTCACATATTTCGTTTCTTAATACATTTGGTGGCTTGTGTTTTTTTTTTTTTGTGTGTGGATTCTGCATGATGATGAAATCAAACTGAGAAGGAAATTACTTCGTCTAAAGCAGTTCAGTGTTGATGTTGCTGCTGCTCATTGCAAACTTGATTCTTTGTTTCTAAACTTTATTAAAGCACACATAAGGAACCAATCACATATTTTTTATGGATTTGTGTTTGAATTGATTCATGGAGATTGTACTGAATAGAATCCTTTCATTTGTGGTTTTTTTTTTAAATATGGCTAAAATATTATATGTTCGTATTCGATGGCTTTGATAAGGCTGTCAACCATATAGAAAAATATATTATATGTTAATAAATATTTCAAAAATACACAAGATTAATATTGAATATTATTTTTGCACAGATTTATAATAAAAGTAAATGTTGATTTATTGATCTATTGTGACAATAACATATATATAAAACATCTAAATTTTACATGAATTTATAAATTTCAGTTACATTTTGTATATGCTATGTGACTCATACTTTCTAATTATGAAAATTTAGGGATTCTAATAATTTCTATTTATTGTATGATCTACATGATAACAAAAAAAAAAAATCGACAAATCACAGAGAACAAAGAAATTCTTTTGTTGCTCTTATATAAGGAGCAACTGTGGATAAAATTATGAATTGAGTTTCATACGAAAACAAATAAAAAATAATACATAGAAAATATTGATAATATATTTAAACAAAATAATTGGCTTATGCGACTGATATTTGTTTTGAGAAAATTTTCAATGCTATGAATCTTTGATCCTATCAATCTCCAACTCAACGGAGCCAATGGAAATGTTGAAACACCAACCTTAAAATAACGTCATGGTTTCTAGCTCTCTTTTCCTCTACATAGTTTTTTAAAATAATTACCAGCATAACCTCTAAAACTATAAAGAATCACAATCGATCTGCAAAATATGTGTGTGGAGTTTGTAGGTTATGATAGAAGAAATTTTAAAAAGATCATATCAATTCGTTTTTATTTGAAAGTGTCAATGAGATTGCATGTAATGGATATGGTGAAAAATTAAATGGC